GAGAGTGTGTGTGTGTGTGTGTGAGAGAGAGTGAGTGAGTGAGTGTGTGAGAGTGTGTGTGTGTGAGGGAGGGAGTGTGTGTGTGTGGGTGTATCTGTGTGTGTGGATAATGGTGATGATGATGGTGATGCTCTGCAGGAGAGTTCATCCGTGCGCTGTACGAGTCGGAGGAGAACTGTGAGGTGGATCCGATGCGAACGCCTCCGTCGGTGCTGTCGGATCATCAGGCTAACCTGCGCATGTGCTGTGAACTAGCGCTCTGCAAGATCATCAACTCACACTGGTCAGTTCCTGTCAGCTGACCAATCCTTGCTTCAGTAACTTTAACACTTTCACATGTTCACGGATCTCTGGTGTCACGTGACATGCAGCTAAACTAATACACCATTTTTTATAGTAAGTGTTTCATTTTGATTTGTTTTTATTTAAATTTATTTAGATTTTGCGTTTTAATTATTTATTACAAATTGTTTTATTTTGGTTACATGTATTTAAAAATTTTATTTCAATTTTACATTTTTATGATGTAGTCCATTTTAATTTATGCAGTTTATTTTAGTAGTTTTATTTTGAAATTATTTATTTTAAAATTTTTATGATTTAATTATTATTGTGTTATTTTAATTGTTTTTTATGTTTATTTCAATTGTACAGTTTTATGTAGTTAATTCATTTTTTATTTTATTACATAGTTATGATTTAATTCATTATTAGTATTTTAATGGTTTTTATTTTTAAATTATTTCAATTGTATTATTTAATTAATTATTCGTAAGTGTTTTATTTTTATTGTTTTTTAATTTATTTTTTTTTAATGTAGTTAATAAGTGTTTTATTTTGATGCAATGTACTAGATTAGACATACTAATTCATAGCTTCCAGAGCTGTGTGAAAGCCAGTGTTGAAGTGCGAGGTGTTTTTAGTGTAGGGATGTCAGTGCATGATGGGATGTGTTCTCTCTCTGCAGCTCTCTCTCCCACGCTGCTGTGTGTGTGTTCTCTGCAGGTTCAGTGGGAAGGAGGACTATCTGGGCTTCATGAATGAGTTCCTGGAGATGGAGTGGGGCTCCATGCAGCAGTTCCTGTACGAGATCTCTAATCTGGAGTGTGTGAGTAACGCCGGGGCGTTTGAGGGCTACATCGACCTGGGCCGCGAGCTCTCCATCCTGCACAGTCTGCTGTGGGAGGTCATGGCGCAGTTGAGTAAGGTACGGCCCACTGTTCATTTCTCTGACCAATCATTTTCGTCAATGACATTTTTACACAGTTGAAAACGAGAGGATAAAAACTCTTTTACAAATGTATAAGCCCTTTCACACCAAAAGTGAAATGAATACGGCTCAAGCTGAAGGAAATATAAAATCACGTCTGTACAGTAGAGGGCGCAGCTCAAACTAATCACATGAAGAATATGATGCAGGAGAAGAAAGTTCAACACTATTCAGCAATAACACAAATTATACACAAATGTCAATTTTTGCTTATTAGTATGGATGAATTGGATCACTGAAGGTCAGCAGCAAAGACATTAGTTAATAACATGGGATTAACTATATAAATGATATTTGTCTTATTTAACATATTTAATTAATCGCAGGTTTGTATAATATTCCGAGTTTGTATTTGACTGTTTGTATTGATTCTGAGGAACGCTGAATGTGTTTTTGAGTAAACACATGTTGATATTTAGTCTAGAGCTACAGTAAGATCATGTTCACACACAACGCTCTGCACTGACTCCTGATTTCTGTCACCACGGCAACACCAGAGCTGTCACTCAACACATGGAAACAAAGTAACTGCTGGTACTTATTTGAAAAAGTAACTCCGATATTTTCCTTCTAAATTAAAAAGTATTGCGTTACTTTACTAGTTACTTGAAAAAAAGAAATCTGATTACGTAACTTGCGTTACTTAAGTGAATGTTTGCAAATTATTGTGAGAATATCAGATGTGTGTGCCAGTATATTGAATCCGTGCATTCAGTTTTAAAGGGACAGCAGACTAATTTAGTTATTGTCTTTGTCATTATTGTTAATGAATCAAGAAAAGAAAGAGAAAATCACTCACTGCTCTTGAATTAATCACTTTAGTAGCCCTAATAAGGATGAATCTCATTTTAATTTATACAAATAAATACCATTGATGTTTCATTTGGTATTTCAAAAGAGGACCATGTTCTTTTCTCTTATTAAGAAGTGATTTTACTTCATTTTGACATAAAGACATGGTTTGTTAGGATAGGACAATATTTGGCTGAGATACAACTATTTGAAAATCTGGAATCTGAGGGTGCAAAAAAATCTAAATATTGAGAAAATCATCTTTAAAGTTGTTCAAATGAAGTTCTTAGCAATGCATATTACTAATCAAACATTAAGTTTTGATATATTTACGGTAGGACATTTACTAAATATCTTCATGGAACATGATCTTTACTTAATATCCTAATGATTTTTGGCATAAAAGAGAAATGTATAATTGTGACCCATATAATGTATTGTTGGCTATTGCTACAAATATACCCCAGCGACTTAACACTGCTTTTGTGCTGCAGGCTCACATTTTAGCTCAGCATTGCCGTCTAATCAGCCAATATTGTCTTAAATAGCCTGCATAGCACTTCATCTTTTATAACATGGGATTTTGACCAAATAATACTCAATCTTGATTTTTGTAAAATGTTGCAACGATGTTAAAAAAAATGTATTTTTGTTTTTTGTGAAAAATTACAGTTTTGGACATATAAGATAATAAAAAATAATTTAGTAACTACAAAAGAGCATGTAAAGCAAATATCTTTCCCGGATCCGCGCAATTTTTTCACCTTTTTTCCCGCTTACACTGGTATG